CTTAAACCTCCTCTAACCTCCTCTTACCTTCTCTTACCTCCTCAAACTGACGGTGGGGAGGAGCGAGTCCGGTCTTCCTGTTTCAGGTGACTGTTGAACCATCGATAGAAACACAGTGCAGGCCTTAGTGTGGACGGATCAGAGCTCACTCTGGATCAACAGTCAGCACAGTCCTTCAAAATATAATACTGTACACAATATTATTATATATACTAAATATAGATTCATAAAGACTGAATGTAATGTAAGTTTATATAAATCTACAAACAGAAAGTAAAGTGCTACTTTGGGCGATAAGTTCAACCTTTTCCCTCGAAGAGTAAACCAACGGTCGCTGACTAAGTGACATATTTTATAATATAATATTATTGTATTATTTCATATTCATTATATTTAAAACTGTGCAATGAACCCAAACAGTGAACTCAGTAACTGCAGGACGTTTGTGTAAAACGAGGTCTGTATTCTGTATTCTTTTTAACAATCATATTTAGTTAAAAAGATTCTGACGTTTGGCCGTTGTTCTATTAGACTGTTTACTTACAGAGATATCAGTGTACTGTGTATATTTTTCATGTTCTCTGGGACGCCTTAAAATCATGAAGGCCTCCACGACCCCCCCACCGAGCTTTGGCGTCCCCTATCGAGGGTCCAGACCCCCAGGTTGGGGGTTGGGTGTTTAAAGCTTACAGTATCGTACTGCTGTAGCAGTCGGAGCTGGACTTGAACCGCGGCTTGACACAATACTGCGACTGCTTCAAGATAAACCTGAGGGTGATGCTTTGTTATTGTTCTTGGATTCAGCTCAGACCAGGTCCAGGACCAGGACCAGGACCAGGACCAGGTCACGCTGGAATCTGATATTTAGCACAATGAACAAACACAGCCTGAGCAGACGGTGTGAGAGTGGTGCTCAGTAGACGCTGTTGGGTTTTGTGGTGTGTTTGTGCCGACTGCAGTGATTCACTGAGGCTCAATGCATTCTGGGTAGATGTGACACACACGTGATCAACGATAACCTCACGAGATCGAGGCAGTCGCAGGCTCTCCGCTGCCCAGTGCATGATGGGAAGCGTGTGCCTGTCGCTGCTTCTTGGAGCTGATTGGCTCGTAGTTTTGACCACTTCCTTCCTATTTTCTTTGTGGTTTTAATCTTTAACTCCAGATTGTTGCTGTTTCCTGTCTCATGATGGAGATTAACAAACAGACCCTGTGTGGTTCATATCAATAACGTTTATTTATGGATCCGAACTTGGTCCACAAACTACAAGTAGATAATGTAACAAGACACGTTTTACTGACTTCCTGTTTATTCTTTCAAGGCGGCTGGAAAACTGACCGCTGCTTTATGTCGTATAATTGGTGGTTATTGGTCGAATAAACGTGTTATCAGAATATTCTGCTATGAAAAGATAAAGTTAGAACATGAAAATTGCTCCAATTCAGAAGAATGAGCCAGTATTTTAATGCCGCCGTTTGTCTTGTTTGAATGAACTTTATTTAAATCACCAGACAGAGTTGGCTGCAGGTTCTCCATGTTTCCGCATCGTACTCAGTTGATCCTACAAGGACGATTATAAAGGAAACTTAAAACATGAGTTAACACAACTCAGAGTCGGATCAGCTTTAATGGTCTCCCAGCTTTACGGGGCTGTTCCTGAAGGGTTTAGGGTTCGGGAAGTTGAGGCTTTTTAAGGTGTAAAGTTTCTGATTATTGATTAAAGTAATTATCCAGACGACTCCAGTATTTCTGAGTTAATGAACATTAAAGTTACCGTACAGTCGTCAACCCACTTCACTGCTTTCATTGGTTCCATATCTGCAGACACACAGTGGCAGTGCAGACAGACTCTCTGGGTGAGGCGATTTACTGGCTGATATTCACGCTGTGTTGTTGCGTTTATCTGCTGTGAAACATCAGTTTTAAGCTGCTTAAACGTTATTTCCAACTTGGATTTTGGAGAAATAAACACCTGTTGTTTTGCACTGTGACCTGTACGCTCTCCTGGTGACACATATGGCAAAACCCCTCCATACCTCCGTTCACTGCTCAGTATCTCCCACATTAACAGTTTGTGTTCACCGTCTCCAGTCTGCCGCTCCCACTGGAACCCGTTGCAAAAGACACTGCTGCACACCTTTATTCCATTAATCCTTTAATAACTCTAATAACTGTACATGGAGGGTTCCTGCTCACTGCGCCTGCTTTTAATTGTATGGACACATGTTCACTCATTAGTTGTAGTTTCCAAGCTTGCTATTGAGTCCTGCAGTTATTGTCTCCATTAGTGAGCAGTGCGGTCTGTAAACCAGGAGTTCCTGTCCTGTAAATGAGGGGAGGAATTTACGGCCTGTCACAGTTCCTCTCTGCACCTCTCTGGTTCACTTCAACTGTGCTTTAAGTGTCGACTTCCCTCAGGTCGACAGTGTAAATAAGAACTGGTTCTCAATTAACTTAAACATAAATCTGTCCGTCATAGAAAGTGAAACCTCTCCACAACCTCCTGGCTGCTGCTGGACTTCATCTCCAAATCCTCAGTGTTAGAAACTATTTTCATTTTCTGAACCTAATACTCACACAGACTTGCACATTGTAGTTTTATAGTTACTGGATGAATGTGCTGATACATTTGTCTGTCACATTTTACCATTATAAAACTATTTCAGTCACCTCCATTTGCATATTACACTGTACCACACTGTGATAATATTTTCCTTCATTGTGCAGCCGGGGTCGACTTTAGATGTGTTTGTATAGTGGTTAGTGTGATCGCTGCTGCATGCACATGGTTTTAATGTGATGATTATAGTGTTCTGTTCGTACCTGCACAGGGAAATTAGCTAATAGTTCAACATAAATCATCTCCTCTCATTTTGAGATGAATGTTTTTTTGTGCTTGGTTTAATGTCTTCGTCCTCCTCAGGTTCTGGACGTGGACAGATCGGTTCTGTACAAGATCAAGAAGTCGGTGAAAGCCATCAACACGTCTGGTCTGGGTGAGTGACACAGTCTCACCTCAGTCTGTCCAAAAATACCAATGCTTCTCACCACAAACGCCTCGCTTTTCCTGTCACTTTGTGTCTGCTGCTGCCACTACGCCATTTATTAACTGTCTCTGTTACAGAGCCTTTCTTCTTCACTATCAGCAGTGAACTCCTGCCTGTTTTCTGTTTGTAGATTCACCAACAAGAGCCTAAAAAATCATTAATGCAAAGTGCATCACCCACAGCATGATGGGAGTTGTAGTCCTAAACCTCAGAACATGTTTATTCCAAGTAGAAAGAATAACACTGCGACAAAAAACATGATTCACATGATGTTTGTGCTTGTAATTTCTGCAACCAGGGGGTCTCTTACATCCAAACATTAACAATAAGATAAAGTGTGATGAGGTGGTGAAGCAGTGTGGGATCATGGGAGTTGTTGTCTTCACCACCATTGGCGTCATTGCAGTCAGCT